GATAATTAAATTTGTATTCCATTCGAATCTGTTGAATATTATTTTAAATAATTTCATACTTAATCATATATACATAAATTTATGATTAAATAGATTATATATCAATATTTTTATTTATTAGTATTTTTATTTAATTTTCTTATAAATGAACCGAATTATTTCATATATATAAAATACGAGAGCGTTTTCTATAATGTGTAATTTTATTGCTTCAAAAAATCAAAAATAGAATTTAAATTATTCCTAACAAGATAACCGACATTCCTTAGTATTAGTTAAAAGAAACAAGATAGGAATTTTTAGATCTTAGTATTATAGAAGATCTTGGAAGTTAGAATAAAAATGAATAAGATATCGAAATCAAATGCGATGCAGGGCTTTGCTGTGAAACCCTAGATATAGATCCGTTCAGAAGTAAAAGTAAATTACTTCTAATAGTAAAGGAAGTAAAAGTTATAAATCAATGCAATCCACGTGGTTGTGTTTTTAATCGCGAAAACCGTGTATATCCGTGCTTGAGAACTGTCAAGAACTGAATGCTTATGGTGTAAAAGAAAGCGAACGAGGTAAATTTCTCTATGAAACTATTATTTTCTCTTATGAGAAATTTAAGATACGTTCGTAGGGGAATATTAACCACGTAAAGGTAGCCAGCAAGAAAGTACTTTCTGCGAATTTGGCCTATGCAAATACGGGTGAACAATCCGGATAGGTCGAGTTTGCGAGCCCTAGTGAAAAAGTTTGGACGCCTCGCGACGAATACTAATTAAAGACTTGCGGAATGAAATTAGTTAGCCGAAGGATCGGAGGTGACTCTCAAGGATGGACGATGGAATCCTCGACTCGGCGACGAAGAGCCGCTTATGATAATATAATAATACTTACTTGGGGGCTCGGAGTGCTACCTCCAAGCTCATTATGCGTTTAGTTCATAACTTCAATTGGATTCTTACTATCCCTACCGAGGGCTTTCATCCAACCGTTGTCTCAAACCATCCTAATTATACAAGTAATTACTATCGCGAAAGAGAACGTTTCAACTCATTCATGGCCGCGATGATGCTGCATAAGCAAAGATAGTTTATCTCTTTTGCAATTCAAATATTTTGTTCAAGATATTTGATTAAAATTTATTGTACTTATTATAATTTCGTTACAGTAGAAATACGATATCACAAATTTTAGAATTTAAACATTTCTATCATTATACTGTATATATATTAGCCAATGTTTCTGATGATTATAATTTCCTTTCGTTAGAATCATATTTAATCATTTCAATTTGATGCATTTTGAAATGCGATTTACGACTTACCGTCAGTAAACGCATTTTAGAAGAGAGAAAAGAGAGAAAAGAAAATATTTGTTGACCCCCATTGCTACGGGAAATTTTCACAGGATCTATACTGTCGCTCGGAAGGCTTTGAAATCAATCTCAGTACTCTGGGAACATGATAGTACGACGCGAGTAGAACTTCTTCCTTCCTCCGCCTCAATCCATTGAAAAAAGGCTCTTGAGTCCATCTCAAGGTATCGATTAACAAACACTCGAACAGCTAGTGCTGCCTTTGTAGAGCCCGCTTTGCAGAGTAACCGCTCGTGGTAAAGCCGTTTCGAGCTTTCCTGAATGGCACAGTGAAAGCTTTCTGTGTGAACGACTCACCGAGTGTTGCACAAGAGGCGGACCTTTCGAACTCCACAGAATAACGCGACCGTGCGCATCCATTTGTGCGCGGTAGAATTTCGCCGACCTAATCGAATTCCAGTTGCGTCGGCGAAATTTCCGCATTCGCGACCGACGAGCGCGATATTTAATTTAGCAACGCCGATTTGGTATTCATGACGAGGCATGCTGTGGACGTAAATATAACGCTTTGACGGAGCACTTGGAAATATGTATCGACCCTTTGATTTTCTTTTCCAAAATTGAACCGATATTCTATTCGCCAGGCTGACTTTGACTCGTCAAAATTGCTTTCAGCTTTTACCATCCAAGACTTGTACTTAACATGCTTTCTTTTGTTAAATAAGGATATGAAATTCTCATAAAATCGCAATTGCATTTTCACATTTTTACGTTTTCCGATCATTGACAATATCTTGTACGAATTCTGTATTATATATGTAGAAAATTTTAGAAAATAATCAAAAACTTGATAAATTTATTTTGTTTAGATAAGAGATTATGTGATGTGTAATACGTATTGAGTTATATCTGCATTCGTTTGCAGCACAACAATTAAACACTTTCACCCTGCTATGTCAAGAAAACCATCTATCACGTAGTAATCATGCTCTATGCTACACTGTTGTATGCAACAAAATTCTTGGTCATAGTATGTGAAAGTACTTACCTTCAGATTTAGGTGCGGGAGGTTTGCGAGTGGCCCAATTTGTCCGAATACTTCTGCCACCTAGCCATTGGCCGTTCATGTTGCCGATCGCACTTTCTGCTTCCTGAGAAAAGACAACAGACAAAATCAATATTTTCTATCGTAAATTCTAAAAGCGAAATATATATTATCCATATATTAAAAGTAGAAAGGAAACAGTTTTGTTAATTATTAAATGTAGAAAGCTACATTAGTTTTGATATTAATTCTGTTGAACTTTGCAAACATTCATTTAATATTTGCTTTGTTAACATTTCTAACATCTTATATATAATATTGTACGTATATTGAAAAAAAATCTATTCCATTCTCTTTCGCAACATTGCTTTTTGCTTATATACATAATGGAATATTTTTTACAATACCTTAACAGTGCATCGGATTTTATTTGGTCTTTATGCTATTACATTGTTCATTAATTCATTTTTTATGATCAAAGAAATCGTTGATTTTGCAAAGAGCATTCAAATGGAAATACAAAATATTTTGCATACAGTAAAACGGTCATTTTATTTTATAATGCACTTTATCGAATGTATATGAACGGATACGATTACAGTTAAATTTGCAAAATTCTTACATTACAATGCTATACCCCTGAAACACGCGTTAAAAACATAGAAATAAATATATGAAATACAATGACAAAGAAGATAACTGATATTTTTGTAAAATTTATCATGCAATTAACGTGAATTTTATTAAAAAAAATATAAATAATAATTGTGATATTACAGAAAAGACAGAATTGTGTGTATTACAGAATGCTTCTAAGGGATTTTACCAAGAGGCGAATGAAAATACGCGTCGTCGCGCGCACAGTGCCTCTACGAAAGCTCCTTTATTGTCTTTCGCAACGTCTATAACAACAATTGCGGGGCGTCGTAAGAACCGCGACGGGAGAATCCGCGCGAAACGCGAGATGATGCCGCCGCCATTCACACGCAAAACCGCGGATAAAACCAACAGGTATGTTGACGTCAATATTATCCGCGACTTATTGTTGATTCAGCCGCGGTATCCCGTCGGCATGGCCCTCGATCCAGGTCAACTTAATATACGTTTTGAAATTTTATTCGATCGACTGCACTCTTGATTCCCCGGATTTTCATGAACCGCTTCGGGCGATCCGGGACGTTTTCCATTGCGACATTGGATTCTCAAGGCAGAATCGGGAACACCTTTGGCAAAGAGGAGAAAGCATCATCGACGTATTTCTGTGCAATGTGAGCTATTTGCACAATCCATGATTTGAACGAAACAGATTTCACGATGCTCAATCCATCTTCTTACGTATTCATTACGTAATTCTTGTATAAAAAATAAAATCTTTATATTGATAATAAAAAAATCTTTATATATGATAAAATTCGCGAAAGAAATAAAAAAGTCATATACTATGATGTTTGCGCGTAGTAACTCGCGCGTAAGAAATAGGGTATGGCACACGTCATCATTTGCACCGTGTACATTGTACACGCGCGGAAATGTACGCTCGCGCGACATCGTTGACGGTAGTATTCGGACGGTAGATTCGCAGGATGGCTGAGAAGATGGAGATCTAAAAATATTCTCGACGAAGGAATTCCCCGAAAAAGTTTACTGTTCGAAAAGCTTTTTGGGTATGAGAGAAGGAAAGATACTTTGTTCTCTCTTTTTTTCTCTTTATCTCTCTCTACAGTCTTCTACAGTCTTTGCCTCTTTCAGCTTCTATAGTCCACCCTCTGTCGCTCTTTACTCTCACCCATTTGCGCCATTCGGGACGTCCTCGGCTTTGCCTTTGCCTCATCTCAAGTCGTTACTTTCTTCCATAGCGCGGGCTTCAGCCAGTGGCTCTCTGAGCTTTTCTGCACACGCTCCTTATTCCTCGTCGCATATCCCGCTAGATAAAATATTTTCGAATCTCCATTCCCGATATGATGCCGTACATTCGCGTGGTTAGCCTAGATAGAGCTCAGGCGACCGAATGCCCCGTTCTAAGCCGATTCTAAACTTCGGTCGATATCCCGACGCCTCTTCGACCCGCAACCCCTGAAAACCACCGCCGCTTGCCTCCTTCCGTCCGGCGTGACCAGGGCGTTTACGTGGTACCAGAAGTACCACCACCAGCCGGCTCGCGTTTCTCCCTACACTTTCCACCGGCCGGTAGTTTGAGCTGTCCAAGCACCCATCAAATCGAATTTCTTCCGCGGTCGGCGATGCTATAGACAGACGGGAACGCCGCTTACCGACACCCAACTGTTTTACACGCATTATTAAGTCATGCCCCAGCACGGAGTAACGTGCCATCGGATTACGTGGCCTTAACGAAACTTCCTTCTGAACCAAACAAAGTCCTGTACAAAGCCTCATTGTATAATCGACTTTTGCCTCTTTAGGCTTGTCTCTTTTAAATTTTCTATCATTTACATTGAATTTTTATTGTTTTGTAAATTTTCTTATTAAATGTTTTAATTCGCAATAAAAGATGTATTTTTAACAAATTATAGTATAAGTGTATTATAGTAAAATTATAGTATATAGTATAAGAATCAAACTAGTTATAGGGTCCTGACTAATAATGTTCTTAAAAGATGATAAATATTTTACATATTTTATTAGCAGATATATCATTATTTCGTATTTAA